TGAGAGCATCATGCCTCCCTAAGCTGGACAGGATGCTAGAGCCCTTTTGCCTCCTTCCCAAATCTGGTGGACTTTGGGAAGGTGGCTCTTGGACCTTGTTGAAGTATTGCGCCTCCATCCCTAAGCCAGGCAGATGATTCCTAGGCTTTGGGAAGGAGGCACCAGGATTTGATATTTCAATACTCTAATTTATGGGGAACATTTAGGGGACTAGCCTAGTCTCCTGACAGCACACCACTGGGTATGGGGAACTTTTGGCCATCCAGGTGTTGCTGAACTACAGCAAGTATGAACCTCAGCAAGTATGGCCAATGATCAGGGCTGATGGGAATTGTAGTTCAGCAACATCTGGAGGGCTAAAGGTTCCCTGAACCTGTTCTACAGAGAAGCAGGGAAGAGATGTAACAAGCAGGAAATAAAATAATTAACAATAAAGCATTAAAAATGTGGGAGGTGATGATAAATAAACCTACATGTGTGCGCACATATCATTAGTCCTGTTTTGTTGGAACCTTCAGTTATACTGTCAATAATAATTTGATTATTTGAGACCAAACATCGCAAAATGAGAGATTAGGATGGTTGCCATGTGGCCAAATGCAAGTTATCTCATAAGTATGCTTGTCTCTGTTCAAAGAAGTGTAGCTAACGGGCAGTGATGTATTGTCCATATTAAAATCAAGGAATGGGGAAGTAGTCATGCAACTGGTTTTTGAGATGCAACTGGTTTTCCCTCCCTCCCTCCGTCCCCCGACTTCTCTTCTGAGAGAAGTATGGCATTGCAGTCAGATTACAGAGCCTGAAGTTTGGAGGGAGGCTGCAGTGGGCACTTCCAGAAGGAGACTGCAGAGGACCCAAGAGCATTTGGGAAATTTGCTGTGATATGTCGCTGCTAGATAAAAGGAGGAAAGAGGCGGCTCTGGCATCTCAACAAAAGGATTTCTAACAGCAGAGCTGAGGGAAATCTCTGCTCGGGTCACCAGAGAGCTGCTGTTCATCAGCACTGGGTTAGGCTGGTTGGAACAATGGTCTTGACTGAGTATAAGGCAGCTTTGCAAGGCACAGCATGTATTAATTACCCTCAAAGTTGAATAATTACTGCTGGTGCAACTGGTGACTGCAATTATTCATGGAAAAGAAAGTAGACTTCTCTTGGATGCACCTTATGCGTTTTTGCCAAGGAGAAACGTGTGGGGAAGCAAATGAATTTGCAGGCTGTAAAACAGCAAGCGAGCGAGAGAGAAATGGCTGAAGTTTTGTTAACCACCTGTGCATTTTTTTAGGTCATGGAGCAAGTCTGTTGGACAGAGTGCTTCTGTCCCGCCAGCAGCTTCCACTCTCCATCTGAGAGCTGGAGGAAATTCCTGGAGTCCCATGATATAGACATGTGCGTGGCTCAAGAAAATGCAGGCGGAGCTGGGCCAAGTGACAGCTCGCACTCCAGCTTTGCTGCCTGCATAACAAATGCCTTCTAAAGAAAACTGGAAAGTCTCCTCCAAGTAAATTTGTCTGGCAAAGGTTAGGACCCAGTATTAATGTAGGTTGTCTAGCTACTAGATTTCTTGTTTCTGACTTAACTGTCTATGGGTAACAGACCTTTTTACAGGATCTCTACTGAAGTCATTGGCTTTTAATAATAATGTTGTTGCTGTTGTTGTCAGTCGATCAGTTAAACTTATACCCCTCTTACTCCTTCCTCTCCAAAGAATCCAGGGCATTAAACACACAAAAGATAAAACAATAAAAACATCTAAAGACAATTCCACTACAGATACAACCTTCAAAAGGCTTAGTGAAAGAGGAAGGTCTGTGGTAGGTGCCAAAAAGACAACAGAGATGGTGCTTGTCTAATATTAAAAGTGATATTTGAAGCAGCCGCCCCCTTCTCCTTTAAATGAAGCGGGGGTGCTTCAAACAGTGCTTTTGCGAAGCGCCTTAAGGCAGCCCCTGCACTCAACATCTCAGTTGAAATGGGAGTGTGGGGACTGCTTTACATCACTTCTCAAAAGTGCTGTTTGAAGCAGCTTGTACACTTCTCTTGCCCCCTCTCAGGAGAAACGCATGAACTGTTTTAAACAGCGCTTTTGAGAAGTGATTTAATCTCCACTCATCAGTCGATGAGCAGGGATTGCCTTGACTACACAACACGGTTCTGCTTAGAACATGGCACACAGCCAACACAGGATTAAATCCTGGTCTCCCAGACCTCATCAGGGCAGATGGGCATGCTTTGAGGATAATGGCTTTGTGGACCAAACTAGATTCACTGATGGGCCAAGATTAGCCTCCAGCCTGGAGGTTCTCCACCCCTGGTCTACCCTGACTGGCAACTACTCTGCAGGGTTTCGGGCAGAGAGTGTCTCCCAGCCCAACCTGGAGATGGCAGGGATTGAACCTTGGACTTACTACTGGCAAAGCAGGTGGTCTATCACCAAGCCACAGCTCTTCCCCCAGTGGGTTGTTTGACTTGTTGGCCACAAGGGGAACTTGTGGTTTTGGATCACACTCTCAAAACTGAAATGCCAGCATCTTTTTTTTTTACCAGCCCCACAGATTTTGTGTACATTTTTGTCTTCAGGTAAAAAAACCTTGATTGATTCATTTACCCAAGGGAGCAGTTCTAAAGAGCTTTAGACTTAAGGGTTTTTGTTTTGTTTTTAAGGAGGCTGGTAATGCTCAGCTGCATTTCTGGGGATTGAAATGAGAAGGTGTTCCATTATCTGGATTGCTGGAAAGGAATTCCCATCCAGAGAAAACCTCTTAATGTACAAACAGTCAGACTGGCTTGCTGGTAAACTCTCAAGAGACTGGTAAAGCCGTCAGCTTCTCTGAAGACTTGAGAGAGAGTGGAGGGAACAGGTGGACTCCGATGACTGGGGAGCGATTGCTATGCTCTAAAAAGTAAAACAAAAAACAAAAAAACCGAGCCGCCCTTGGATTCTTATTCAGGCACTGTTTTTTGAAGCACTGTAATGGTCTGGTTTTGCCTGTCCCTGATGAACTCAATAGAAGACTGTTCCAAAGGGAGCTGGAAGCACGGGGCTCTTGTCCCTTGGAAATCATCCGATCCTATGCTGGTTGTACCTGCCAGACCCACTGTAGATGCAGCTCAAAATTACAGGAGGGCGTTTATTGGCAGAAGTCTCCGATGCCTCCAGCCAAACCTATTACAGCATTAATTCTCACCCTCCCACCTTAATGCAATGCCTCTTGGCTTCCTAGGGAGCCACCATAGGCCTTCTGTTGTTTAGGGAGTTCAACAATTACAATCTCATCTGGCTCCTGCGCATGATGGACTCTTCCAAGGCTAATGATGTGTTAATAGAGAGCGACCTTTGGACAAGGCCTGTTGTGTTTTGCTGCTGTTTTATAGCCTCGATGGGAGGCTGCCTCGGTTAGTACCTCGGATACCTCCAAGAACAGGAAGCCTTCTTGTGCTGGGAAGGCAGCATTGGACTGAGGAATGGTTGTTATTCTTATTATTATTACTATTAAAATTTGTATACCGCTCTTCATCCAAAGATCACAGGGCGGTTCACAACATAAAAATACAAAATGATGCATAATTCAAAAACCATAAACAAATCAATAGTCCCTCCTCCCACAAACATATTGAAAAGGTCATAGACTGTTTAGTCAGCCAAAGGCCTGGTTATCGAGAAACATTTTTGCCTGGCACCTAAGGATATGAAATGAAGGGGCCAGGCAAGCCTTCCTGGGGAAAGCATTCCACAAAGGGGGAGCCACCACAGAAGAGGTTCTCATGTTGCCACCCTCTGGAACTCTCATGGAGGGAGCATATGAAAAAGGCCCTCAGATGAAGATGGCAGGGTCTGGGAAAGTTCATATGGAGAGAGGAGTTCCTTGAGATATTGCAGTCCTGATCCGTTTAAGGATTTATAGGTTGAAACTAGCACTTTGAATTGAGCCTGGAAACTAACTGGCAGCCAGTGCAGTCAGGCTAGGATTGGTGCAATATGCTCAGACTATTTTGTGTAGGTGAGATGGGGCATTGGGGCAGGCTTCCCTTTGCCAACCAAAGGTGCAAAAAGGGTGGCTTCCTCAAGAGGAGGAAGAATTCTAGCAGTTGTGGTGGAAGGCCAGATGAACAGCTCACCTCTTCCACTGATGGTCTCTGGCTGCTGCTACCTCCAAGAGCAAAGCAGTAGTTCTCCAGCAGTGAAGTTTGTCAATGTACCGTGGAGCTTATAGTCAGCTAAGCTTCTAGGGCTGCCTTTGATGGGCTGATTTGGCACTTGTACCCTGTTCCCTGGTGCTGTGGGTTAAATCACAGAGCCTAGGGCTTGCCGATCAGAAGGTCGGCGGTTCGAATCCCTGCAACGGGGTGAGCTCCCATTGCTCGGTCCCTGTTCCTGCCAACCTAGCAGTTCAAAAGCACCTCAAAGTGCAAGTAGATAAATAGGTACTGCTCCGGTGGGAAGGTAAACAGTGTTTCCGTGTGCTGCTCTGGTTCGCCAGAAGTGGCTTAGTCATGCTGGCCACATGACCCGGAAGCTGTACGCCGGCTCCCTTGGCCAATAAAGCGAGATGAGCGCCGCAACCCCAGAGTCGGCCACGACTGGACCTAATAGTCAGGGGTCCCTTTACCTTTTACCCTGTTCCCACGTAGCCTCTCCAGTGGTCTGTTTTGTCTCCGAGTGTTGACACTTGATGCTCAGTTGGTAACTAGAGTTTTGAGTACATACGGTTTGATTGCAGCACTGGGTTTGTGGGAGAAGAGTCGTCTCCAGTCTCTCTTGGCCTGAGCAGTAATATTGTTCAGGGTGTTGCCACTCCCCATGCCCCACTTTCGGTCCAGCTCTGGCTGTTACAAGGGCCTTGCAGCTGTGCCAGCACTAACATTCTTCACTGTGTTTTCCTGCCTCAATAAAAGTACAGGGAGCTACCTAAAACAAGCCAGGCCAATGGTCCCTCCAGCTCTGTATTGTCTATGCTGACTGGCAGAGGCTCTCCAGCATTTCATGCAGAGGGTCTCTCCCAGCCCTACTTGGAGGTGCCAGGGATTGAACCTGAGACCTTCTGCATGCAAAGCAGATGCTCTAACCACTAATGTGCAGAGCACACTGGCTTGAGTCTGTGGGGCAGTTGGCAACTGACTCCCTGGGCAAATTGAGCCCCATCATAACAATTACAGTGGAACCTCAAGTTGCGGGTGTAATCCGTCCTGGAGGCACGTCCGCAACTCGAAGCGTTCGCATCCAGAAGCGCCGCGTCTGCACGTGCCGCAATTTAGTGCTTCTGTGCATGCACGAGCGTCAAAACCCAGAAGTAACTTGTTCCGCTACTTCCAGGTTGCCGCGAGACACAAGATGAAAACACGCAACCTGAAGCGGACGCAACATGAGGTATGACTGTAGAGAGGGGCTAGGACCCAGAGGAAGTGATTTCATTTCCTGATATTCCGGTGGGGCTGCAGCAGTCAAAGGGCCATTTAGTCCATGCTTTTTCAGATGCTGCCAATGATGACACATAACACATCATGTTCCATTGGCTTGTGTGGGTTATGGATTCTGCAGCCTTAATTGTGGCTGCCCATGAGGCCACTGCTAAATACAATTTTGGCCTGCTGGAAATGCAGTTGAACTGACTCGCTCTGCACAAGAGAAAGCAAGTATGAGTTTAGGATCATGGTGCCAACAGAGCAAGCTATCCAGAAGCAACTCAGGTCTGCACGATACAGGTAAAAGCAAGACTTGCAATTATTATGGAAAAAATACATTTATTATTGTTGTTATTGCTGCTGTTATTATCTTATACACGTTGAACCTTTAAAAAAAATCCCCAAATTGGAATGATCTCTTTTAATTTACAATTTGTTGCATTATGCTTTACTGGAATTATTATTATTATTATTTGTTTACAGCACCAGAGTAGGGTGGGGCAAGGAATTAGAAATATTACCAATGGCTACAGTTCATATGGAAATTAATTACTGGGAAATATATCTATATCTATATACACACACACATTTTTGCACTTGGTATTGAAAAACGTAACACGGTATTATTACCTTGCATTAGAATAAAATATCAGTATCCAACTGCAAAGGTGTTTGTTTGTTTTAAAAAATCATATAGACAAAAGACAAAAAGATAGCACCATATGATAGTGAGAATCTACACTCTGTATGTGACAACTTGTGCAATTACAAATGTACAGTACTTAAAAGCAGCACATAGAAAATGGATTTTAGACAATGGGATTCCTACCCTTGTAATCCAAGAGGGCTTGGGCTCAAAGGGAGCAAACCAAAGGCGTTGCTGTAGCTACACTGAAACCAACAGGTGCCTACACAGTAAGTACAGATGAAGAAGCCACAGCCACTGTATATTCTGGCTGCGGGTGCTTGATGTGGCATTGATGCTCCTCATGCACCCATGTTAATTGCAGTGTACACACAACATCGCTGGCGTCAAAATGGCAGCCTGTATTCCCCATTTAATCTGGATTTTCCTTTTCCTAAGAAAGCTTGGTAAATTAAAAAACAACAACACGAAAGCAGGTTGCATCCGATGTAGGATTAAAGTCACTTACTGGCATACTTGCTGCACTGATGGAAGATTGTTGTGCAAGGAAAAACACAATGACATGACAAAAGATCTGTGCGTTTAATGGGGAGATGGGCAATAGGACTGGTTTAGAAGACGGAAGGTGAAAAAGAAAATGTTGTGAACTTCAGCCTTGCTTCAGATCTTGCAATGGCCCACCAGACTTTTTCAAAACCAAATTTTATTTGAACAAACCCTTGCACCATCTCAGCAACCGTTTTGGAAACTGCCCTCAATTTCAAGCACTTAATTCACTGTACAGCAGGGATGGTGGGAACCCATGGCCAGGGGTGCCAACTTGAATAAAATATTGGGGGGCAGGTAAGCCTCGCCCTACATAATCTATCACATGACACAGCACACACAAACCATTTGAACAGCAATGCTCTTCAACTAAGCCCCTCTAATATTTTATTGGAGGGGACTGAAGGGGCCTCAACCACTAGGAGTTGGCTTCCATGCCCGTGGCACTCTAGATGTTGCTAGACTCAATTGCTCATCTTTCCTGCCTGTTAGGCATGCTGGGCTGGGACTGGTGGAAATTACAGAGTCCAACTGCACTGGGAAAACCACAAGTCCTCCATCCCTGCTATACAGCATAAGTGTAAGAGTGGCATGTTGGGTCAAAGGAAGACCTAGCCTAGCGTTCTGTTTCCAGTGATCCTCCAAGAAGGCACACCATCTGTGCCTTGAAGGGGCTACCCTTTCCATGTTGTTTATCCCTAGCACAAAATATTTAGAGGTACACTGCTTCTGTGTACAGAGGCTCCATTAGCAATTGTTGCTAGCGCCAATTAGGCCCTAGCTCCCATGGATTTGTCTACACCCTTTAAAAAAAAAAGCCATCTAAACTAATTCTCAGTCATACAACCCAGTCTCTGTATCTGCAAGGCTGGCGTTTCATAGTGCAAGGCAAAAGATACCTTCAGCATGCAGGATCATGGCTCTTTTGATTGCAGCCTAAGCCATGATGCTGTGAACTAGATGATGAGGTCTGGCTATTCAGACCAGTGCCAAAGTGATGGAAATGTGTTGAAGCTTCTCTGCCAGTCCTCCTAGCACAAAGGCCGGCCTGCTACCCACTCCACCCCAAACAAGACTTTTTCACAGCACAGAACTGCTGGGTTGGGGTCTGAAAGGAACCCTGGCACAGCACTGGCACTCTGTAGGGTACAGGCAGGCTATCAGCCTGGGATGGGCCTGATCTCACAGAGCAGAAGCAGAATGAGGACGGGATGATCATTTTACTAGAAGCATCTGACCAGGCCTTAGTATGTTGGTTTGGTTTGTTCATGAACAGTTTCCTAGATGTAGCCATAACATCTAGGAGACACCAGCAAAGAGGCCTGAAATGCAGTCTGAAGGTCTTTCTATGATTGATTTTGAGGAGGAGAATAAGGAACACCATAAAGACATAACACAGGCGAAAGGCGCTACTACAAACACCAAGTGAATTCAACAAGATAAACTGGATTGGATAATTAGTAGCTACACTGTACAGAAATCTGATAAATTCCAGAGAAAGTTGGGCAAATTTTTATTTTTAGTGGGGTGGTGGAATATATTACCTTTATTACCTATTCCTCGTCTCGGAAGCTCACAGAGTAGTGGAAGTCAGGTTGTTTTATTGTAACCTCACAACAACCCTGTTTAGGTTGACTTCCCCAAGACCACCAAGTTAGATTCCAGGCTGAGGAGGGATTTGAACCCAAGTCTCCCAGTAAAGTGCAGTCCTAAGCATGTTTATTCAGAAGTAACTCCTAGCGAGTTCCTACCACAGTCACTCACCAATGAGACTTGTGTACACCATCAATCAGCCAATGTCCAATTGGTCCCAATCCAACACAAACTCTCTGGATTAGATCTGAGGTCAGCTCCCATAAGCTAGACAAGAAACAAAGGGTTGTAGCCAATGTTAGCCTACCTCAGAGGAAGCCCACTGAAAGTAATGTGCCTAAGTTAGTTATCATGTCTATTCATTTCAGTGGGTGTACTCTTGAGTAGGTCTAGCAATGGATCCAATCCAAAATGTGTAAGCATTCCCCATCTTGGGGAAGTTTTAGACTACAACTTCCATCAGCCCCAGTCAGCACAGTCATATGATGCTGGGGAGTGATAGGAGCACAGCTGATGGGAGTTGTAGTCAAAAACAACAGGAGGGTAGGCAGTTGGGGAAGGATGTACTAGGCTCACCACCAAGACTACACAGTGTCTTTGCATATGGCTGCCAAGTCATTGTTGCAGCCCTGCCTGTAAATATATGTATAAAGAATAAAGAACCACAGAACGCTGCCCCACAAACAACCTGATAATACAGAAGCAGGCTAGCACCAATGGAGCTCAGCGAGTGAATAAGCTCCTTTTGACCCAAACATTCCCATTGCCTTGAGAAGGGTTAGAAGCTGGTTCTGAATTTTTGAGCACCATTATCTTTATTTCCATCTTGATAAGATCCCAGGTCCGTACTCTGGAAAACCCAGTTCATTGTCCGACATCTGCCATGCCTGAGGGGTTTTTTAAAAAACCAATTTGTGTAGTAGATTGATTTCAATGTCTTTTCATAGGATGAACTTTTTTAAAAAACAAAAACAAAATGCACGTCTGACTGCACATCCAGGGATCTTTGTGAGTTCTGATTTCAACTCGGGGCCATTTCTGTATTAGGGGTGTCAGAATGTCCTAATATGAACTTGGCCTTCCAGTCAACAGAGTTGCAGAGGACAGAGTGGCTTTATGGAGCAGAGCCTCCCATTTGCTACCTACTTGTCACCATAGCGAAGGTGTTGAGGTGGAGATTCACAGCTTAATCTTCAGCACTGTGGCTGGAGATGCAAACATCTGACCTGAATGCACTTTGTTTAACAGAGCATGTTTAAATCGGCACACCCATGAAAGCGGCAATGCTTCTCTCAGCACTGCTTGCCATAGAGCCTGTGAAAGGTAACGTCTGAGCTGCATCGGTCTTCCACAGCAACCCTCAGAAATTACATTTCTACTCCATTTTATTTCTTTGGAGAGGGAGAAAAGATTCCCACCACTGAATGCAGGAGTGGCTGGGGTGGAGCTGTCCTCCCAGCAGTGGTGTCGCTGCTGCTTATCTGAACAGTGTGAGGGCTGGTGGGGTGGGACAGCAGCAAGGTTCAGCACCGCAGTATGAGAACCTGACTGGCTGTACTGGTGATGCTGTGCTGGGTCCTTCCTGCAGCCCTGTCCTGTCTCTGTACCATCCAGGTGAGCTGTAACATCAATGCTGCTGTTGGGAGGGCAGCTCTGTGGCACTACCCCACTGGTCCAGATCGGAAACGATTAATGATGTCCAAACCGGAGTGTGGGTGTGGAAGAAGAGAAACAGGGATATGCCTTCTGCCCAGGAAAAGTAAGGATTCTCTCCCAAAATAAAAGAGCTGAGAAGATTTAACCCCTCTTCCTGCTAACCCCGTCCCCGAAATTCAAGACATCAATTCTAATACTGTGATCGCTGCACAGATGTCCGGACTCATTGCAAAATAATAGGCAACAC